CATCCCAAACCTTGCATTCTTGCTATTCTGTTTTGCTGAAATTCCCAATGCCTTGCTATATCTGTGGGGGAAGCCCTGAGCAGGTATAGGGAACTTTAGGTAGGAAAGAAAGTATACTTTAGTAAGGACTTGGTGTTTATTGAGTGTTCAGTTTCCTCTTCAAAAAGGAAATAAGCAGAGAGGGTTGGATGTCTTTAATTAGACTATTGTTAAGCTCTTGCCTATACTTAACACTTCATACTTGGCAAAGGCCTCGTGTCTTTGTATGTGTGTGTTTTCTAAATTCACATACCATGTGTCACCCACTTAAAGTATACAAGTCAATGTGTTTTAGTATATTCACAGGGTTGTGCAGCCACTACTACCATCTAATTTTGGAACATTATTATCACCCCAAAAAGAAATCTCACACTCATTAGCAATCACTTCCCACTCCCATCCTTACCCCAGCCCTAGGCAATCATTCATCTGGTTTTCTGACTATATTTACCAATTCTGAGCATTTTATATAAATGAAATCTAGCTTCTTTTTACTTAGCATAATGTTTGCAAGGTTCATACATTTTATAACATGTATTCAGACTTTGTTCCTTTTACTGGTATATAATATTCCATTGTATAAATATGCCACATTTTGTTTATTTATTGATCAGTCTGTAGGCATTTGGATTGTTTCTACTTCTGGCTGTTATTATGAATAATGCTGTTGGGAACATTCGTGTACAAGTTCTTGTGAGGACATATGTGTTCATTCTCCTGGGTATATACCCATGAGTGGAATTGCTAGGTCATATGGTAGCTCTATGTTTAACTTTTTGAGGAGCTGTCAAACTGTGGGTCTGGTTTATAAATTTACTGAGATTTGTTTCCCACGAAATTCACCCACTTAAAGTACACAGTTCAGTGGTTTAGTATATTCACAGGTTTGTGCAACCAACATAATCAAATTTTAGAAAATGCTCATCACCCCAAGAAGAAACATATACAGACAGTCCTCGGGTCACGTCGGACTCGACTTATGTCGTTTTGTGGTTACATTGCCATCTCCCATTTATTTATTAAAAAAAAAAAGTTCTGTCATTTCGACATACATATGTGCTTTATGTTTTTTATTATTTATTTACCACAAGTAAAGGTCAGGAATTGTTATCTTTCTTTTGAATTTTTTTTACTGTTTCACTTCATTACTGCTGTGTATATGCTCCATGTGAGTGACATAGGTGCTTATGTAGGTGGGTTCTGACTTACAGCGAAAATCATGTTATGTTGCGCTCTAAGAACAGATCTACTTAACCCAAGGACCTACTGTACTCATAGCAATCACTATCCATTCCCACCCCCAGGCAACCAATAGCCTACTTTCTATCTTTATAGATTTGCCAATTTAAGACATTTCACGTAAATGAAACCCCACAACTGTAGTCTCATCACTGGTTTCTTTGACTTAGCATCGTGTTTCCAAGATCCGTCCATGTTGCAGCAGGTAGCAGTATTCCATTCATTTCTGCGGCTGAACCATATTCCGTTGTGTGGACATGTTGCATTTTTTTTGTCCAGTCTCTGCCTCCGTCATTACATGGCATCCACTCTGTGTGTACCTGTATCTTTGTTTTCTCTTCCTGCAAGGACACCAGACATTGGGTCAGGGCTCACCCTAATCCAGTATGACCTCATCTTAACTAATTACATCTTGAAGACCCTATTTTCAAATGAGGTCACGTTCTAAGATTCCAGGTAGACAGGAGTTTGGCGGGGCGGGGGCGGGGGGGGGGGGACGACACTGGTCATCCCAGTACAGGCACCAAGGAATAATCACATGAATTCAGGTAGAGATCTTCTAAAGTTGCAACCAGAAGTGGAATTTTGGCAAAGAGAGTCCCAAAACAGCTTAGAAGGAACTTTGATGGGGCTTCAAACCCTTACGGAACCCATGGTTTCAGAGACACGGCTTCACGCTGGTAGGATAGAATTCCAGGTGCCTGTGGGCCCAGCTCTGCTTCAACTTATTAACAGACTTAAAATTCTTCTCTAATCTTGACCACAAGAAACAAGCATATTTGGATTTTTGTTCCAGAGAAAATTCTTTTATTTAATCAACAGATATATATATTTTGAAGACTCACTATGTGCTGGGTTATACACACACACACACACACACACACACACACACACACACCTCCTAGGCACCAGGGATACAGAAGTACTAGAACATGTTTTGAGTACTTACAACATGCAGAATAGTCTAGACCCTGAATGCATTTCATCCTTCCAAACACCCTATGTCCATGTGAATAAGGAAACCAAGACTCAGAGAGCTGAAGGGACTTCTCTGGGTCTGCAGGTAAACAGACTGGGTCACAGATTTGCTTCTGCAGCCTGAGCTGGAGGCAGAGGGTCCCAGAGGGGAGGACAAGTCACTCCTCCCTTACACAGACCCACAGCCATGCATTCAATGAAGGATGTGTCGGGGGTAACAAGGCAGGATAAGTAGGTTGTGACCAAATGGCCTTGCTTGTCCTGCTGGGGAACCTGGCCAGTGAGGAGTCAATGAGTGACTGAGGGAGTATGACTTCCTATCCCATGTACTTTGTTTCGTTCATCCACACACATTATGGAGTAGTGGGTGCTGGAGATGAGGTATGGTAAAAGCATAGACTCTCAGCCCTTCCTGGGCTTACAGCCCAATCTACAGAGTGATGACAGAGGGTTGCTGTTTTCCTGAAATTCTCTTTAAAATACAAGGAAGTACTGGTGAGAAACAAGGTTGAAGAGGTAAACAGGAAACCAGTTCGATTGAAGAGATAAACAAAATCACCACATCGAATTTTAGAAAATAGTCATCACTCCAAGAAGAAAATAGAGCGAGCTTTGGAAGTCATCTTGAGGCTAACAGGGGTCCCCTGAAGGGTTTTAAAGGCAGAAACGGAGAGGATGCCGTGTTGAGGAACAGGGAGGACTCACAGGTCAGGGCTAGGTTTCTGGCTGGGAGATCTGATTGGGAGGCGACATTGATGTACTTCACTGAGAGGGAGAACACGGGCGAGGTTGGGAGTTCAGTTTAGGTTGCTGAGCTTGACCTGCTTGTGGGACATCTGAGTGGAGGTGCATAACAGAGAGAGGGACATGTGACAGGAGAGAGATCTGGGCGAGGGATCAGGACTGCAGGGTTTTCGTCACACAGGTGGTAACTGAAGCTGCAAGAGGGGACAGGATACCCCAAGGGTTCTCCTGAATGAGATTGAAGCTATGGCAGGGTCTGGAAGAATCCTGAAGGAGAGGAGGTTCATTGAAGAGGGGGACAGTGGGAGGAGGAGCCCAAAAGACCACGGCGACTGTAGGATTGCAACAGAGGTCTCTTTACCTTCCCTGTGTCCTGTCAAGCAGCCACTTGTGTTCATCCTGGTGCCATGGCTTCTGGTCCTCTTGCCTGAGCCCTCTCTCCTCTACCATTAGAGAGTTCATCCTGCAAATGGAATGGAGTACTGAAGCCAGTGAGTCTGTGAACACATGTCCAGTTCACTACGAGGCCTGTAGTGGGATTTCTCTTTGAAGGTCAGTTCAGCTGTCGCTGGAACTGTTTCTCCCCAGGGCACAGGGCTTTTTCTGCTGTGCACGGGCAGAGGCTGTCCTGCCCAGCGTCAGGGACCATTGGAGGGTTTTAGCTGCAGAGCTGTATGAGCTGGTGAGTCTGCCTAGGGCCTTGCAGAGGGCACCGACTGAGGTAGGTCAGATAACAGGGAGTGGAAGCAGAACTATGTCCCCTCTGAAGTGATTTGAAGGGACCCTAGAAAGCCACTATCACCACCACTAAACTACTGTCCCCTACTAGCCTTCACATTGCCAGAAATTACATCTTTAAACCTTTAAACCTTTATTTCTTTTGCACAGGGCGTTCCACTGTTAGGGAACTATTATATGCTGAGTGAATATGTTTGCCTCTTCTGCAAACACAGACAGAACTTTCTATGTGCCTGCCTTTATTAGGTAAATGCGGAGACCGTAAAGACATCAATCACTGTTCTTAGAAACCCGTGGGCTAGGCACGGAAGCACGGTGACAGTGGACATAAGAGGCGAGGGCCAGGTGCTCTTGGCTCCCAGAACAATGGCCAAGTCCAGGAAGGTTTCAGAGAGAATGTGATATCCATGCCGGGTCTGCTGTCGGCTTGTGAGTGCCAGAGAGTGGGACTGAGATCCAGGTGGAAGGGACACATCAGCGGAAACAGAGAAGCATGAAAGGGGCTGGGGTGTTCAGGGGCCGATGAAGCTTCCAACTGCCTTGCATAGGGGAGGAGAAAAGCAGGAAATAGGTCAGACTGTGAACAGCCTTATATGCTAAGAATCTGAACCAAGCTTACAGAGCCAGCCAAATAAATCATGCCCTTGGCTTGGGGTGTAGCTCTAAGCTCGTAACTGCCTTTAATACCTCGCTTCCTTCCTAGCACCACAGGTAAGAGCATGAGAGTTAAGAGAAAAAAGACCAATGGACAGCGTGGTAGGTGCAAATGGTGGGCAACGGGAGACACTGCCCTCCTCAGAGGACTTGGAAGGCAGGCAGGAGGCACCGGGGCCCATGTGGAGGGACAGCTCCAAGTACATGTGTGCCTTTACCATTAATACAGGAAGGCTCAGCCCAGGGTCTCAGTGGATGAGTCTTCAAGAAGCAAAGCGTCATTTCACAAAGCAGCCTTAGCTCTGAGGGGGTGGTGACAGCAGAGCCACCAAAGAGAAGGAAGGCAGTGGTACCTCCTGCCCAGGGGCTGGCCTTGCTCCAGAGCCGCACCCCTGGGCCACGGGAGCCACACCTCCTGGAAGTGAAGGCAGATCAGGGCATCTCCTTCTCTGCCATGTGGCCAGTCCCAGCTTCCTCTCTGGGAGGGAGACAGCACTGCAGCTGGACCATCCGTCTGCACTGGATAGTTCTTGCTCAGACAACCCACTCTGGAATAAGGACACCTTTCTTTCCTTTTTCATTCACAGAGTCCTTTCTCCTTTTCACAGATTCACTGAGAAACATTTCCTCAGCCAGTCACGGCGCCCGCTCCTCTCCAGCCGAGCTCAGCAGCTCCAATCAGCACCTTCTCCGAGAACGAAAATCCTCAGCCCCATCCCACTCCAGCCAGCCGACCTTGTTCACCTTCGAGCCCCCCATGTCCAACCACATGCAGCCCACCTTGTCCACCAGTGCACCCCAAGAGTATCTCTACCTGCACCAGTGCCTAAGCCGGAGAGTGGAGAACACCAGGTAGGAGATGCAATCACTGGGCCCAGCACTTTTCCGTCTCCGTGCTTTCATTTTAAACACAAGGGGGTACAGTATTTTATCTTTTCAGGTGATAAAGTATGTACTTATAGGACAAAACATTTCTTCACTTAGGCAACGGTCACATTTTATTGGTATCATCTCTGTTGCTATACAGTGATAATTGGATTCCAGGGACACCTCCCATTGTTAAAAATCATGCTATAAAAACTTTTTATTTAATTGGGGGGGGAGTCTTTTAGGGCTAGTGTCTCAGAATTGGAAAAAGACAAGTTAGTTTATTTGTTGTCCTTAAGAAGATAGCCACAAAGCCTTCACATTATTGAACAAATGCACATCTCAGTGTTATATATGGTCCCACTGTCCACCTGTGGCTAATTAAATTTGAATTTTAATTTAAACAATAAAATTTTAAATTCAGTTCCTCAGTTGCACTAGCAACATTTCAAGTGCTCAGTAGCCCCATGTGGCTAGTGGCTACCATACTGGGTAATACGGACATGAAACTTCATCATCACAGCCAACTCTACAGCAAGGACTCCCTGATCTAGAATAATGGTTTTGTTTTTCTGCCACCACCAGCTCTCTCACAGGTGCAGAGCCTGTGCTTACATATGTTTATTGCCTTTTATTTCTACTGTTAGGATAAACAAAAGCACAGAGCTTAGTCAGAGCTATTTGCCAATCACTACCATGGCCAGAAGATTATAAATCATGTTCCTTAATTAATTTATTTATAGCTATCTAATTTGTGTTATGAAAATTAAGGCAATTAAAGGACTGGGTGTTTTAATATTTCACTTCACAGAAGATTTTCATGCATAACCTCACTCGATCCAGTCGAACACACTGAGAGAGAGCCAGTATGATCGTTTATCTCCCTTTCATAGATGAAGACATGGAGGACGCTTACGACTAGTAAATGACAGAAGTGGGACTAGAACCCAGGTCTTCTCATGTCTGGCCCTGTAATATTTTCTCCATTCTGTGTTACCTTGGTTCTGATTTTCTGAGTCATTTGCCATCACCCGGCAGAAGCTCCCAAAACTCAGACGTAGCGATGCCTCAAATACCCATTTGATTCATTTGTTTGTGAACTTTCATGAGTTGAGCCTCCATCAACTTAGACCTGAAGAGCTGTGTTCTAAAAAGGTAGAATGAATTAACCAGGGTCACTGAATTCGTTCATGGCAGAACCATGACAGCTGTTGATTGCTCCTGAACCACAGCTCAGGTGCAGGCAGTGGCTGCGATGAAAAGCAGATTACAGATATGGCTTCAAATTTAGGCTCTGCCACTGTCCTTGTGATCTTGAGCCACTTGGTTAACCTTCTTGACCTTCAATGTCCTTGCCTGCTGAATGGAAATAACCAATGCAAAGGCTCCCTAATGAGTGTAAAATGACAAGTAGTGGATGCTCAGTCCATGTCACCTGTTGTTCTCCTGTGCCTCATCCCCTCCTACTACATGGCTGATTTCCCGAGAGTAGAGGATGTGCAAAAGTTCTTACAGCCATAGTTCCAGTGAAGGACAAAGTGCTTTATTTTAATGCCTCTCGGACTTTAATGCGCATATGAAATACTCAGGGATCTTGTAGAAATGCTGGTTCTGACTGAGGAGGCCTGTGGTGGGTCCTGAAGTCCTGCCTTTCTGTTAAACTTCGTATGATGCCATTTAGATTGTCTGCAGTTCACACTTTAAGTCGTGGGTAGCGAACATCCGGCCCGTGGGCCATAAGAGGCCTAAGAAATCATTTGGTCTGGTCTTGCCAAGGCATTAGGGGTAAGTTAATTAAATGTTTGACCAGATATAACGGGCTAATTTTTGAGTTGATAATTTTGTATGGCCCGGGAATGATGTTATAATTATGCAAATGGTCCTTGGCAGAAAAAATGGTCCTCCACCCCTGCTTTGACCTTATACAATATTAGAAGCTACCACGACCTCCAGTCCCATGATATTGCTACAGCAAGAGAACAAATACATATATGTCTCTGCTTGAATTAGCACTTGGGGCCCACTCCCTGCAAAACCTCTGGAAATTCATCTCTCCTCTGAATTACCGTAGCAAGTTTTGATGATCTCCCTCACAGCCCTTGGAACTCTCTGCCTCATATTATGGATACTAATATGTTACTGTTCTTTGAAGATCCAGGGCACCAGTAGGCACATAGTTAGTATTTGGACAGACCCGTGTTGTAGAGCAAACACAGTAAAGGTGATAGAACGTATCTGCAGCTGGGGAAGCGCCTTTGCTGTGGGGCCCTGACCACTGTGCTGTTCTCTGTGTCTTTGTTTTCACTTGTGTGGGTGTTGGAGCAAGAGGGTGATGAGCAGAACCTCAGGGATATTTTTGGAAAAAATTAGTTCAGACATTTTTTTTTGGCAGAATTCCAATGGGGGGTGGAAAGGAAGCGTTCTTCGGTCTAGAAAGACTATATAGTTTCTGGTAGTAGTGGAGTAGCTTGAATGATACTAAACATACTGTAACAGTTATAAACTCTGGAAAAAACACACAAAAACTGTTTGAAGGCCCGTAAGAGCAATCAAAAAGCAGGCAAAGACTGGAAAAGATTTGACTCTTGAAAGAAGGGACTCACACTGAGTGGGTCCAACTTCCATGGCTTTTCCTATGAAGGAAATTCCTATCACCCGAAATATGTAGTATACAATGAGAAATTGTTAGACACATGAAGAAACTGTAAAAGTTGACCCATAGTTGAGAGAACTCAGTTCATAGAAACAAACCAAAGTAAACCCAAATTTTGGAGTTAGAATACCAAGACTTTCAGTGATGATATTTATTGCTTTAATATATGGAGGGGGGCTGATAATGAGTGAAGAGATTGTTAAATTTAGGAGAGAGATAGAAACTCTGAAAAAGAACTTAGGAGTTCCAGTTCTAAGTGTGGGATAGTCCCAAACCAACCTAGCAGAGGCTTTGTAAACAAATCTGAGATTTGCACTACCACACAGAAGAGGCAAAATTTGATCTGAACCTAACCAAGTTGATTGCCTGCAAAAACAAAATCATCAACATTCTTCAGAGGCAACATTAAGATCGCAATATTCAGGATTTAGTCCAAAATTTCTCAGCATACAGAGAATCATCAAAATGTAACATGTCTTGCCCAGCCAGTGTGTCTCAGTGGTTGTGTCGACCTATGACCCAGGAGATCACAGTTCAATTCCCCGTCAGGGCACATGCCAGGGGTTGCGGGCTCGATCCCCAGTAGGAAGCATGTAGGGGCAACAAATCGATGATTCTCTTTCATCATTGATGTGTCTATCTCTCTCTCCCTTTCCCATTCTCTCTGAAATCAATAAAAAATATATTTTTTTTTATATATTTTATTGATTTTTTTACAGAGAGGAAGAGAGAGAGATAGAGAGTTAGAAACACCGATGAGAGAGAAACATCGATCAGCTGCCTCCTGCACACTCCCCACTGGGGATGTGCCCACAACCAAGGTACATGCCCTTGGCCGGAATCGAACCCGGGACCCTTGAGTCCGCAGGCCAACGCTCTATCCACTGAGCCAAACCAGTTAGGGCAATAAAAATATATTTTTACCAAAAAAATTAAAAGAACCCTTACTTCATATCACACTACTCAAAAGTTAAATGTATCAGAGACCTAAAAGTGAAGTCTAATACTATGAAACTTCTAGAAGAAACATCTCTGTGATCTTTGCTGGGGTAAGCAAAGAATTTTATATAGGATACAAAAAGCAGGAATCATAAAAGAGAAATTTGATAAAGTCGTTTTGGGGGGAGGTTGTTATTGTTTTTAATCCTCACCTGAGGATAGTTTTCCTCCATTGATTTTTAGAGAGTGGAAGGGAGGGAGGATGTGTGTGTGAGAGACAGACATGTATTGGTCGCCTCCTGCACACACCCTGACCTGAGCCAGGGAACCAGGGCCAGAAACAAACCTGCAACCCAGGTATGTACCCTTGACGAGGAATCAAACCCGAGACCCCTTGGTGTGCAGGCCAGTGCTCTACCACTGAGCCACATCGGTCAGGGAGATAAAGTTTTTTACTTTATTTTTATTGTTGACACTATTACATGTCCCCATTTTCCCCTCTTTGCCCACTTCCACCCAGCCCTTGTTCCCCCTTCCTTCTGGCTATCACCTCACTGTTGTCTATGTATATGGCTCATGCATATATGTTCTCTGGCTAATCCCTTCCCCTTCTTTCATCCAGTCCCTTCTGCCCCCATCCCCTCTGACAGATATCTGTCACTCTGTTCCTTGTATGATAAAGTAGTTTTTATCAAAATCCAAACATTTGCTCTTCAAAAGAACCCCATAAGAAAACGAAATGGCAACTAATAAAACGTGAGAAAATATTCAAAGCACATATGTCTGACCAAGAATTTATTTCTAGAATATATTTAAAAAATGATTACAACTCAATAGAAGACAACCCAATTTTTTTAAGTGGGCAAAAGATTCGAACAGACATTTCACAAAACAAGATACAGGAATGGGCAATAAATACATGGGAAAATGCTGAATCACCAAGAAAATGCAAATTAAAACCTCAATGAGATTTGCTGCATCTCCACTGGAATGGCTAAAATAAAAAAGACTAGCAATGCCAAGTGCTGGCAAGAATGTGGGTGGGCTTTCATCCTGCACTGCCTCTGACATTCACACTGCACACTAGGTGGTCTGCAAAAGAGGAATAATGCTTTACAGTTGACAAAGCACTTTCACGTTTGTTACCTCATTTGATCTCCAAAATAACCTGACAGGGTTCCTTTAGGGACTGGACGAGAGAACCAGCTCATTCATTGCTGTCAAGCATAGACATAAATATGCCTGGTTGGATTGCTACAGTCAATCTGTACTTACGAGGCTAATAACACCAGTCTTCTGTCTATTCCTTTTTACATTTATGGGGGAATCTGCTATCCAGTTACAATAGATGAAGCGCATTAGAGATAAAGCCACAACTTAGTCATCATTACTT